TACATGAACAATAATATTAATAACAGCAGTAATTGCAGATGTCGTTTATTAAGTGCCTCCTCTGTATCAGGCACTTTCTTTCCATAATCCCATTTAATCCTAGGAGGCAGATATTATTTGCATTTTGTAAATGTCAAAACAATCTCAGAGTGATTAAATAACCTGTTCAAGGTCACGCAGCTAGTGGTGGGGTAGGGGTAGGAGTGGATTGAGATGAACTCAGGCACTCTGGCTTCCAAGTCAGTACCCGTGTCCTACGCCATCCTGCAGAAAAGGCTGGTGGGGTCAAAGCAGAGGGGCCGGCCTGTGTGCAGGGAGGAGGGAAGGGCTGACTGAGTACGCGTGCTGGGACTACTGCCCCTCGTCCCCCGGGAAGTCAAGAGAGGACTGGGAGCAGCGGGGTGCTAAGCTGCCTCAGTGCTAAGAGGGGTAGTGGGCGTGAGGGGAACGGGCTGGCATGATGGAGAGAACTCCAGTCTGGACACCCAAAGGCCTGAGTTCTAATTAGAGTGCTACTCTCGACTCGCTGTGTAACCCTGGACAAGCTGCTCACCTCTCTGGCTGTTTGGATGATTGTTAATGTCTCCTCTCACTCTTATTTTAGGACTCTGGGATTTAGGGGGTGGCAGATCACTTCTGAACCTTTCTCCTTCTTGGGAAGATGTAAAAAGTACAGGTTCCCTCATGAGCCACCTGCTTGAATTCACAGTCTAAGGGTCTTTAGGCCATATCATGGGTGACGGGAGGCTGGGCTCAGCAGAGGACAGGCTGGAAACTGAGGAAAGAGCACGGTAGAAGATTTTCTGCCCAGGTCCCATCAGCAAATAATCACCTGGCCTCTTGTTACCTTAGAGCCACAAGAATTCCTGGGACCCGCAGTGGGAGAACGGGCACCTGTGAGCCCGTGGCAGTCTCAGGCAGGGCCTGGAGCTGGGCACAGCTCTGATACGTGATCTGATTTAGTCAGGGGCCGGAGTGTGGGGGAGCAGTAGGCTGCTGTCATGTGCTGGAGCCAGAGGCCCTCTTCTCCTGGGGAGGGCTTGGCCAGGGGAAGAGGCAAGCCTTGGGTCCTCAGTGCCTTCGAGACAGAAGGGTCTGGGCTGGGTTCTTGAAGTGGAGAAAGAACTGGTGAAAAATGCAGGGCATGGGAGTCAGAGAGGCCCAGTGGAATCTGGAAGGTGCCATACTTTCGAGCCTTAAGGCCGTGAGTGAGTCGTTTACACTTAGAGCCTTAGGTCCCTCAGATGAAAAATGGGGGTAATAATGCCTGTCGTGAAGCATTGGTGAGAGAATTAAATGAGGGGATACAAGTGAAATGTCTAGTATAGAGCCTGCCAAAGAGTGGATAATGAATGTGCTTGCTGTTCCTATCGCTGCTGCTGCTGTTGCTAATAAAAATAATAAACAGGCATCCTGAAAGGGCAGAAGGAGCAGGGGCCAGGGAGTCAGGTTCTGCTCCCCTCTGACTGTGCGATTTCTGTCACCTCTCTGGTTCCTTATCTTTAAGAGGAGGGGTGGTACCAGCTGCTCTCTGAGGCCCCTTCTTGCTCTGACAGCCTCCAGGCTATGAATAGATGGGGCCGGGGCCCAGGAGGAGTTTAATGACTCAACAGCTAAAGAGGTTAAGGTTTCCCAAGAAAAGAGTTTCCATCCGTGTTTGGTGAACTCAGGGCAGAGCAAAGGAAGGGTTTCCTGGCTATGAGACTAGGGAGGAGGGAGCTGGAGGAGGCCTGGCAGCCAGCGGAGACTGTGACTAACCAGGTGAATGACTAAGTCAGACCCTGCCGACCTTCAACCAATCACGACTGCCTGTGAGTGCCCTGCAACCTGGCATCACTGAGCACGTCTTGACTATGCCAGGCCCAGCTGGGTCAGCTTCATAGCATATGGAGGCAAAAGGAAGCAGCCAAGAGACCAGCAGGGAAAGAGCACTGGGTTTGGAGTCAGAGACCCAGCTTCCCACTCCACCGCTCACTGGCTGGGTGACTCTGGGGGAATCTCCCCCTCCCTGAGCCTCCAAGTCTTCATCTGTACGACGGAGCAGACAATACCTGCCGTGGCAACTTCACTGACTGTGAAGACTGAGAGTCAAGACACGAGATGAAAGTGCATTGTGATCGCTAAGGAACCAAATGAACAGGAGGTTCTGTCATTATTCCACTGGGATGGGACTCACAGTGTCACAGGAGACCCACTAAGGTTCCCAAAGGGGTCAGGTCGACAGAGGCTGCTACCTTTGGGTTTTGGGTTAAGATCAGCCTAACATAGGGCCCTGTCCAACCATCTGATCGTAGCCCAGACTGGTTTTTCTGAGAGCAGAGTCCTTGTGGACAGCTTCCAGCTAGGTGGCATAGCCAGAGTGGGAAGTGAAAAAAAGCCAGGGTTGGTTGGGAGTGGGCAGTGTCAGGCTGGGCCCCCACAGAACTGGGGCAGTGGTCTGATGCTGCCTTTCGTCTTGCCCAGCACTTTATAAATAAATAATCACCAGAACCGCACTCTGTCTGCCTGTATCCCCAGCTTTTAGTGGCTATCTTTGGGGAGGACTACAAACCCTTAGGGAAACAGCAGGGACGGAGAGGAAGGATGATGCTTTTCATTTCTGCACACCTTAAACCCATCAGTGGCATTCTCAGAGTGCTCACAGCCTCTGGGTACTGTGCTGGCACTGGGAGCACAGAGATGGGAAGCCCAGGGCTCTGCCACATGAAGGTCAGTTACAATGTGGTTAAAGAGACCAAACACATCCCCTAAAATGTACATAACCATTCAAAAGAGCCTATACACTGTGTCGCTCAGGTCATCCTGACAGTAAGTTCTGCAGTTGTCCAGAGCAGTGGCCTGGGAGGCTTTGAGGAGGAGGTGGGATCTTAGCTGGACCTAGAAGGTTAGCTTGGACAAGATAAATAGAAGACAGAGAAAAAGGCATGCCAGACTGGCACACTTAATGTGTTCTCAGGGGACAGTTTGGCTGCAGTAGAGAGGGATCATGTAAGTAAGAAGTGACAAATGAAGTCAGACATAGAAATTGGAGCCATGTAAGGTTCTTAAAATTCAGGGTAGGGAGCATGGGCCAGATTCCATGGACAGTAGGGAGCCACTGGGGGGTTCTGAGAAGGAAATCCATATGGTGAGAGCTATGCTCTGGGAGAGTCTTTCTGGCAGCATTGTCCTGGGGAGCTTGCCTTGCTGGGAGAATGAGGCTGGAGGCAAGGAGGTCAGTTAGGAGGTTACTGCGAAGCTGGGGACCTTGGGACTGAGAAGGAAAGCCGGTGCATAAACAAGGGCTTGAAGTATGGAAAGAGGCAGACGGAAGGTCTAAGGATGCTCAGCTTCATTCTCCAACAGCTGAACAGCTACTGAAATCCTGACAGGTGGCAGGGGGGTGCCAGAGGTGATGAGACCTCAGACCAAACCTGTCCTGATTTTTCTCAGGGAAGCAGGCTCCCCCTTGGGCAGGCCTGGGTCTGACCATCCTACCCTAAACTCACAGGCTCAGTAGGATCCAGTAATGCTCACAGCTGGTCCACCTCCACTCCTGAGGCCCTTTTCTCCCTCTTCCAAGAGAGAAATCCAGAAAACACATAGCATAGCTCCCCGTGGTCCCCAGAGAGCAGTGGACCCTTGGAACAGAGTCCTGCAGTGGGTAGACTACAAGGACAGCATCTAGTCCTGCCTTTTACCCCCCAAACTCCCATTGACTCCCAGGAAAACACTGCCATCTTGTCATGGGCTATGCCAAGAGGCAATGAGCCCTTGGGAGTGCATCCAAGGCAGGAAGTGTATGTGGTGGTGGTGGTGGTGGAGGGGTGTCAGGGAGAGGAGAAGGAACTGGAAAGATGGAGGAGGCATCCCCAATAGGCTTTGGGGGAAGGTGGGTTTCCATTCTCAGAATCCAAGCACTTCAGGGCTGGGAGGAGCCCATGAGATCATTTCAGCCAACCCCTCCCTGTCTGGAGGTCAGCCTGAGAAAGTCCCAGGGAAAGGGACGTGCCCAAGGTCATACAGTGGGGGCAGTGATGAAGCTGGGCTGGAATCATAGAGTGTTGAGAGTGGGTAAGGTGTTTACTCCTATCTAGACACTTTTGAATAGCACCATAAAGGGCCTGGCTGAAGATTCCTTTCCCGGACATTCATTTTGTGTTCTGTATGTGGTGTGCCCTATGTGTGCCTGTGTGTACCTCTGTGCATGTGTGTCTGGGCCTATGTTGTCAGTCTGGGTGTGTGTGGCCTATGCCATGATCTGCTTTGGCTTGGAAAAGAACTGGGGCTATTCCTGTGAGGTGACTGTTTTGCTGGGACAGGAAGGCTGACAGAGCTGGATCTGGCTTCCAGCACCAGCTCTGCTGCCCTGAGAAAATTACAGGCGCTGGCCGGTGGTGTCCAAACTCCTGGAGCTGGACACACACATACATACACACATTTGCGCGCGTGCGTGCGCACACACACGCAACACACACACACTCACTCCCCCTAGGCAGCACTCACAGCCGCAGTTACAGGGTGTTTCAGACACCCAGAGTGGCCCAGAGTGCCAAGAAGAGCCGCGTACCGACCTCCACTCGCCTCCCTGGAGCCCAGCAGGTGTAGACCCGCGGGAGTGCGGAAGCCGATCCGCAGGGACACGGAGGAGTCGCGCACTCCCCGCCGCCACTCACACTCAGCGCCCGCTCCAGGGCCTGGCCCGGCCACACCCCTCCTCCCGGAGCCTCGTTCCTGCCCCTGTCACACACTTGAGAGTCCCCTAGGGTCCTCGCGCATCCTGGCAGGTCCAAGCGAGGGCTGGCCTGGCCAGAGAGGCAGGTACGGAGCCAGGAATCGACGCCTCCCCGGAGTCCCGTCCCCGCGGAGCACGCCCGCCAGGCGAAAGTCGGGTTCCTGGGAGCACGGGGTCCGGCGCCCAGCCCCTCTCCGGGGGAAGCCCCAGCCCCCGAGGGCCCTGGACGACCCCGGGAGCCGGCTCCCAGCCCCCGGTCCCCGCCCCCCGCCCGGCGACTAGTTACCGATGGTGGTGATGACGGTGATGGCGAAGTAGAAGGAGCCGGCGAAGCGCCACTGCACGCCGGCCTTGTGCGGCTTGAGGCGCAGCACGACGCGCTCCAGCTCCTCGTAGCCGCCCTGGCTGAGGTTGTAGCGCGCCCGCAGCTCCTGCTGCCGCAGCTCCAGCCGCTGCCGCTCCACCATCTCGGGCTCCGACTCGAGCGCGTCGAAGACCGCGGCGCCCACCAGCAGGTAGGTGAAGGTGCACACGATGAGCGCCCCCCACCCGCCACCGAGATTACAGCACGTTAGAGCTGGAAGGGACCTTGGGCCTTTCTGTCCTGCCCCTTATTAAATGGATGAGGAAACCGAGGCCCAGAGAGGTGAAGTGACACGCAAGGGCATGCAGTGTGTTTGTGACAGCACTGGGATTCAGCCAAGCGTTCCTTCCTCCCAGGCCAAACTCCTCCTCTGCGCCGGATGCTGGCTGTAAGCAGGGCCCAGCTGTGGACCTGGGCACACACGAGCCGACACCCAAGGGAAAGCCCTGCTCTCATGAAATACGTCCCTCCCCAGGTCAGCACAGTTCCTGGAACTGGCTGAGAAAGCACAGGCTGGTAGCCTGGGCCGCCTGCTCTGCCCCCCAGGGGCTTCAGCTCCTGTCCTGTACCAGCATGCCAGGCTGAGCATGGCTTGGGCTGAGCTGCCAGAGATAGCACTGGACACCACCTAGGGGCGTGCCTGCAGAACTGGGGTCTAGCTAAAATAGAGCAGGTGGGGCCCAGATCAGGAGGCTCAACTGACAGACTGGAGGAACTGGAGCAGGGGGCTCACTGTGCCTCAGTTTCTTCATTTGTCAATACGGTGGCTGAAGTGGTAAAAAGAAATGGGCAGTGGGACTTCAGGCAAGGCCTCGCTGCCCCTCTCAGAGCCCCATTTTCTTATCTCTTCTATGAGGTGTCATGGCGGATGATCCCTGTGCCTTGCGAATAGAGCAGGTGGGGCCCAGATCAGGAGGCTCAACTGACAGACTGGAGGAACTGGAGCAGGAGGCTCACTGTGCCTCAGTTTCTTCATTTGTCAATACGGTGGCTGAAGTGGTAAAAAGAAATGGGCAGTGGGACCTCAGGCAAGGCCTCGCTGCCCCTCTCAGAGCCCCATTTTCTTATCTCTTCTATGAGGTGTCATGGCGGATGATCCCTGTGCCTTGCAGACCCTTCTTACTCCTGCTAGTCTTCCCACAGTGCTTTGCAGCCCAGAGCTGTCCCCTATGTTTGCTTAGGGACTCAGTAGACAAAGTGAAGGCCTTAAGGAATCCTACACCTGAGTTAGTGGCCAGCTGTACCAGTGGGAGAGGGGCACAGATGTCTGAGTCTGCAAGCAGAAAACCCCGGCAATCTGCTTCCGTGGCTCTCTGCAGACAGACACTTCTAAAGCTGGAGCAAACCCTGTCTGGTTTAGGGGAATAAAGGTTTTAGAGGATAAAGACAGATGTGAGTATCCAAAGACTCAAGGAAGCATGACATATAGCGTAAATCCCAGTGCCAAAGAGGGTCAAAAAGTCCTTCATGGGACCCTGGCATGGGCCAGCAGAGAGATGTGGAAGAGGCCCCAAGGCCCCTGACTGAGGGCAGGCTCAGGAGGCAACCAGCCAGAAGAGAGAACACCATCTGCCACATTCTGGGCTGACCTGTCACTGCCAGAAGCTACACTCCTCCAACGGCAATGTATTGGCTCCTGGCCACAATCGCCCCAGAAGCCAGTTCCCCCAAAGCCTGTCTAGATGAGTGAGTGGCTTGCTAGACCTGGTTTCAGGGCAAAAAGTGTGCGTGTCCAGGGTCTGCTCGCTTTTGGCTGCTAGGCCAGACGGCTGTACAGACCAGAGGTGATATTATGAGTGAAAGAGCTTTGGAAAGGGCAAAAAGCTTTCTTTAGGGGCAGGCCATTTATTGTTAATTGTGATAAAGCTTATTCTCATAGCATTTCAGAACTGGAAGGAGGGATTGCTCAAGGCTACCCCCTTAAGTTGCCCCCCTCCTACCCATGCCCCATGGCTGGGGGCTTTCCCATATCACCCGTTATGTTTGGGATCAGGGCACCTGTCAGTGGAGCATGGATAACACATCCAGCGGCCCTGGAGGCCAGGAGGGCAGCCTGCATCTCCTCCTTCTTGCCCCAGCCTCCTTCCTTTCTCTCATGGAGGGAGAACTGGGGTGGGAGAGCCATGCTGGTGCCAGTCTAGGTTTCTGTGTAGCTCCTGGGACTTGCGGGCAGGAGTCCTATCCACCTACCCCCAACCTGGGTCAGTTTGTGCCAAAGACCTAGCAGCCAATCCCACTTCCTTCTGCCCAGGACTTCTCAGGCCTGCCCACACCTGCCCAAGGTCAACCTGTCTCTGTCAAGTGCTTGCTGTGGCATTCAGGGCCAGTCACTCCTCCGAGCCAATCCCACTTCCTTCTGCCCAGGACTTCTCAGGCCTGCCCACACCTGCCCAAGGTCAAGCTGTCTCTGTCAAGTGCTTGCTGTGGCATTCAGGGCCAGTCACTCCTCCGTGGGCCTTGGTTTTGCATATCCATAAATGGAGGGGTTTGGATCAGGAGATTTCTATGTTCCTTTCATTTATAACATCCCATGACCTTCCTGGCCTGCTTTTGCCTCTGTTTCCCCAGTTCTCCCAAGAATAAGCCACTGCTTTTGAGACTTCAGTTTGTGAGGAAAAGGGCACAGAGTTAGGATAAATCATACAGAATTTAGTTAGCAACATCAGTTGCTATATTTTATTATACACTCAATGTTATACACAATAATTTTCCAGCTTTATCTTTCATTCCACTCCTCTGTAAGCTCTAAACACATCCAAGCACTTTCATGCTTCGTGTAGCTCATGTGGCTCCATAAGCTGGGATGCTGCTACCTCCCCCACCTCTTTGGTCTTCTGTCTGTTGAACTCCTATTCAGGCTTCAAGATCCAGCTCAGAGGCTACTCCCTCCAAGAAGAATTCCCCAGTTGCCTCCAGTCAAAACCACTGGCTCCTTTAAGCTTCCCCAGCACGCTGTGGAAGCTTCAACTCACCCAGTTGAAGCTTCAACTCAGCTTCAACTCCTGCCAGGCAGATTGATTGGCTCTTTAATATTTGTCTTCACCAATGGCTCATTGATCTTCTCCAGGGTGGAGACCCTTCTTACTCCTGCTAGTCTTCCCACAGTGCTTTGCAGCCCAGAGCTGTCCCCTATGTTTGCTTAGGGACTCAGTAGACAAAGTGAAGGCCTTAAGGAATCCTACACCTGAGTTAGTGGCCAGCTGTACCAGTGGGAGAGGGGCACAGATGTCTGAGTCTGCAAGCAGAAAACCCCGGCAATCTGCTTCCGTGGCTCTCTGCAGACAGACACTTCTAAAGCTGGAGCAAACCCTGTCTGGTTTAGGGGAATAAAGGTTTTAGAGGATAAAGACAGATGTGAGTGTCCAAAGACTCAAGGAAGCATGACATATAGCTGGAGTTTGGTCCCAGGGCTGCCACCAACTACCAACTAGCTGAGTGGACTTGGGAGAGTCACACGGCCTCTCTGTGCCTCGGTTTCCTCTTCTATGAGATGAAAGTGTTGACTGTTGAAAGGTCCCTTCCTGCTCTGACATTCTGGGGTGTGAAAGAGAGGCCTGGCTTTTGACAGCAGTCTCATTCTACAAGAATGTGGTCCGATGGATGAAGGGCCCAGAGACATCCCTGTCTGTTGCTTTCCAGGCCCCCTTTACTGGCAGTTTGCCTGGAGGATGGGGCAGGACCAGGGAGGTAGGGAGTGAAAGAGCTGACCATGAATCAGACAAGCCAGGGTTCAAACTCTGACTCCTTCAATGCCTCACCTGAAATTCTGGCCCATTCTGTCTAGACCAGACACTAAGCTCCTGCAGGGTAGGGATAGCGCCTTACTCATCTGTGTACCCCACAGCACTTGGCACAGCAGCTGGCACAGAGAAGGGCTCTGTAAACTCTCCTCTATTTGGTCCAGTTGGCCAGCCTGGCCTAGGTGAGCTGGCAGGGCCTGGGGCCCCTGGTTCACTGTAGTAAGGAGTGTCCAGGACATCTCCACATCAAGCAAGGGGCAGGCCTGGAAGGAAGAGGGGCCCAAGAGTTGTGACAGGGAAGTGGCTAACTCGAGCACTGTGCCAGGGATTGTGGCCTCAGACTGCAGGTTGATCAGATTTAGGGTGCTTTGGGATGTCTGAGGTGTTTCTTGGTGGGTGTCACTAGGGAGAAAAGTCAGCGATTAGTCCGGCTTTCTAGAGCACAACCAGTCCCAGTGCAGCCAGCTTGCGTTTGTTGAGAGGCTCTATTTGTTTAACATCTCAAGCCCAAATCAAACACAAAAGGCAACTGTTAACAAAGACAGGCTCTGGGAGCTGCCAGGGAGAGCACTCTGGGCTGGGAGGCTGGACACCTGGTCCTGTTCTTGGCCCTGCCCCCACTGAGTTGTGTGACCTGGGGAAAGGGCTGCCTCTCTCTAGGCCATGGGGCTCCCTCCTGCCAAGTGAGGGGTCACACTCAAAGATCTGTAAGGCCAGCCCCAGCCCAGGATTAGACGTGGTTCTCCTAATAGTGAAAGTGAGGAATGATGGGTCTTTGCGGAGTCACTGTGGGGTCAGGCTTGCTCCTGCTCACGCTGCGCCATCAGCATAAAACCTGAGTCCTCACCCGAAGTCTTTACCCACCACATCCCATGGACTTCTTCCCCTAGAGTGGCCCCTCAATGGCAACCATTTCTTTGAGCCCGAGTACTGCCATGGGATGAGCTTCCTCGTATGTGTGCGCTTACAGATCTGCAGGGAATTGTCGCTGGGACACAGTCCCAGAAGGAGTCACAATGCTCATGTCCACTGCACGTCACTATACACTGCCAGGTCATCACTCGCCCCAGCAGTGCTTGAGATTGTCCATTTCATCCTATTCACTTTTCCGATTTTGCCTTTCGTATGCCTCCCTGCTTTCTACTCGTTTCCCCTTCTTTCCCTTTCCCTTTCCTCTTCAATACTCTTCCCTGCCCTGCATTTGGGGCAGGGGCACTGGACAGACGCAGCCATTACTGGGTACTCAGGTAAGCCAGCAGGTGATGAGAAAACCAGCCTCTGTTCACCAGCCGGCCATGTGTGTGTGTGCACGTGTGTAGGAGGCTGTGGGCCTGAGAGTTTCAGCTTCAGTCCTGGTCTCCTCTTCTCCCCTTCTTCAATCTCCCAGCCCTTCATATTTTCCCCTCTTCACACATTCTTCTCTGTATTTGGCCAAGGATCACAGAATACTTAAAGCTGGAGGAAAGCCTAGTT